AAAATAAAATAAACCTCAAATTCCTTATCATGATAAACTATGCCATGCTAATTACTCACTTAATATCATGAAGCTGAGGTCAAGGGTCCAGATTAATTCCTATATTAACATCTTTCTGTGTCATGAGAAGATGTGTCCTAGATATCGCTCTGTGTGTGGGAAACAGGATGGGGCATGAATGCATCTGTGGTATGGCAGGCTCCTTTGCAACTTTTTTGTGAACTGGTCTTTTAAAACTCAACCATGTCTATATTATATAAGTGGACCCTCTGCATTTATTTATGTGTTTTAGCTAATGTGCGTTAGACCAAGTAACCATTGCTCTTACTCTAGTGTGGTACTTGTGGGTTTGTTTCAGGTGAGCTGGGTTGGGAGCTGTACCACAGACGAGAAGATTCTGCAGCTCTCTATGACATTATCATGAATGCAGGCCAGGAGGAGGGAATCGATAATTTCGGAACATACGCCATGAATGCATTAAGACTGGAGAAAGCTTTCAGAGCCTGGGGGTCAGAGGTTTGAAACGCCAGCATCTTCATTACAATTTTGTTTATTGTGTCCGACTTTTGTGTAAGGGCGAGTTTTAATTGCATTAACATCGGCTGACTGTTATGTCAGAAATGATGTGTTATTAGATAACTTTATTTAATTAAGGGAAGATGTTTTTCTCCTTCACTTCCTCCCAGTTGAAAGTTCGGTGGAATTATGACACACTGTTTATTCTGCTTTAATTCCTCCCGCTTGGCAGAGAGCCCTGGACATCCATCTCTGACTGTGTGTGGAGCTGCGGCTCTGGGGGCCTGCTTACCCCACAGTATAGGAGGGGCGCTTTTCAAATTCTTCTTCTTCCTCTGTCGCCTTGCCCACCCTCACTTTCTTCTTATGTACCTTTTGGGGAAATCACACCGAAAGGTGTCTTTATGAGGAAGAGAGTTGGTGATCTAGGATATGTTGGTCCAGCTTGCTTCCACCACTGAAAATGGGAACTAAGGGTTTCTGTGTGGAGAGTTTCACACCATTTTCATAGGCATGATTTATTTTACTTTCAGCTCTCCCTGAAGAAGTTATTATTGGTGATTCTTAGGCAAGGGGTTTGGAGTTGGGGTTATCTGAATTATCCCTGTTCTATACACAATCGCATTGAGAAACAGTAAACTTGGTCCAGATTAAACAGAAGTGGCCAAACTCTGGTTCAAACTCTGTTCTGTTTTATCTCCATTGGCAGGCTATCTCTGGACCCCATCATTTTTTCATATTTCCTTAGAAGTTGTTTCTTTGAGTTTGAGGCCTGACAAGTGACATAAAGGATAGTAGTAAAGGATATACTTCAGAGTGGGGTCTCTTGGGTTTGAATTTATCCTCCATCACATATTAGCTACATGGACTTAACCCTCCAGAGCCTCTGTTTACTTTTCTATAAAATGAAGATTATCTTTTTTTTTTTTTTTAAGATTTTATTTCTTTATTTGAGAGAGAAAAAGAGTGTGAGGGAGAGAACACGAGCAAGGCGTAGGGGCAGAGGGAGAGGGAGAAGCAGATTCCTCACTGAGCAGGGAGCCTGATGCTGGACATGATCCCAGGACCCTGAGATCATGACATGAGCCGAAGGCAGATGCTTAACCGACTTCGCCACCCAGACGCTCCTAAAATGAAGATTCTCTTTCTCTTACAAAGTTATCAGAGATATTAGATAAAATTCCTAGCATGTAATGAATTTAATTGGAGGGCAAGGTGGGTTTGAAAGCATAGACAAGGCCCTTGGAACATCCAGACTGTGGGCAGAAGCAAGTGGGCTTCTAGGTGCAGAGGGAGCTTCCAGGAGCCACTGAAAGAACCAGGGCTTTGGCGCAAGTTGCCATTTTTTTTGTAGGAGAGGCGCTCTATTAGGGGATTCTCAGCCTACAGCGAGGGCCTTCGATGGGGCTGCCGCAGGGAGAGAAACAGAGGACAGCTCTATCCTCACACTCCTCAAGGAAGGAAGCAGCAGATGCAGCCTTTGGGAGTTAGCCATTTCTCCACCCTCCTGCCTTCCATTTTCTCCTCCTTGCTCTCCCCAAGCCTGACTCCGAAAAGCGCTTCTTCCTCCCACGTCCCTCTGATTTCCCAGCAATACCGGCACGCCCTCTAGTGGTGTCACAGCAATCTTCTGTGCTTTGTTCTCCTTTTTTTCCTAGAGAAATTCTGAAACTTTGAGCAGATAAAAAAATAAGTTTAGAGTTGCTCAAATTGATTAGGAAGTATGAGAGACCAAATTTTGTATCATATAAAACAAGTTTATATTACTTATCTAATTTATATGAGTGCTATGTTGTCTTTTTAAAAAAGTTTGGCTACTTTTTATGGAGTTTCAACCAGTTCTCTTGGTGCAAAAGGGAACAGTAATAAAACAAACAAAATCCAGTAACTTCAGATCTAGTCCCAAAGAGTGGCTTTAGCTTCAACTTAAAGTATATTGTAATTACTCAACCATATATGAAAAGGCTGAGATTCAATCTCTGTTTCCTTTTCTCTTTCTTGAACTCTGTCGAAGCCATTTTCCTACCATCTGCTTTCTCCTCCGCTTGTCCTGATTCCTGGCTAATTGTAAGATAAGTATATTACCTAATAACTTTTCAAGACCTAACTATGTAACACTATTATATAAGAACGTATTAGAGTCTTATTTTGGGGAGGATCAGCATGTCATGGTATCCCTCAGATATTTATTAGTAAAAGAGCCATGGGAACAAACTGAATTTTAGGGTCTAATATGCTGTTCCAATGATAATACTTCCTGACGGGCTACATTTCAATTTTAGATTTAAAAATTACTTTAAAGACCAGTCTATAACTTTCCTTTCAGAATCTATGTTCAAAATCCAAAAGTGTTTCTCTTCCCTAAAAAAAAGAACATATGAAGGTGATGTTACTGAAATGATTTCCACTCATCTAAGATTTAAAATGTGTCCAGGGGCATCTGGTTGGCTCAGTTAGTAGAACACGTGACTCTGGATCTCGGGGTTGTGAGTTCTTGCCCCATGTTGGGTGTAGAGATTACTTGAAAATAAAATCTTTTTTAAAAATGTGTGCTTCCCTTTCAGATGAACTGTGATACAAATCCTTTGGAAGCCGGACTGGAATATTTTATAAAGCTCAACAAGGTATGTTTATATTCCAAAGTGTTCTTGAAGTAATTCTTAAAATTATGAGGCTGTTTTGTGACAGAGCCATGCTTTAAAATTTAACCAAGTGTGATTATAGGACAAATGAGTTGAACATAAATACTAAGCATTGCTCAGGTGCTTTGTATTGAGCGCTTGTCAAAATTAGGTATCAGTTCAAACTATTGCAGTGTGCTTGTAGATGTAGGATAGCAGAATCCAGCAACTTTAAAGACTAAATCTAAATTCTGGGATAAAAATTACTAAGGAGAAGATGTCAGTAGACATTCTTATCAATCCTGGTGATTTGTGAAGTCACACGTTAGCTCATCAAACATACAGCATTAATTTTCTCTCCCTGGGTGCTCACAGCATAAAGCAGCCTCCCCTCAGCAGATCTATCCATCTGCTTATTAGGCACTTTTATATGTAAGTGCAACATTTCAAATGTGTTCAGCAGAAAATGGGTATTTACTGAGAAGCCAATACAAATATGATAACTGATATTAACAGTCCAAAGGGAATCCCTACATTAGTAGTTCCCAAAGTGTGGGCCTCAGACAGAGCATCAGCATCACCTGGGAGCTTGTGAGAAATGCAAATTCTGGAGCACCTGGGTGGCTCAGTCGTTGAGCGTCTGCCTTCGGCTCTGGTCATGGTCCCAGGGTCCTGGGATTGAGCCCCACATCGGGCTCCCTGCTC